TTTTTTTTTTTTTTTTTTTTTTTTTTTGTCTTCTTGTTTTGAACAGGGTCAGGGCATGCACATATCAGCATCGACAATTGGTGGTGTTCAGCACCTCAACACATTTGCAGCAACAACATGCAATCCTGTTATGTCCGCTTGACTTCGTCCATTCACACAAAAAACGAAAGCAGAAGAACGGTTCGAATGTGGAAAACGACACTGGCGAAATGAATTTGAGCCTTTCAAAGTTTAGGCACTCCAACAACAAATTTTAACATTATTGTAATAAACAAGGACAAGGACACACAAACACATGCACACACATAGTACTGTCTTCGACACACCTAGACACAAAAAACAAACCATGCAAATGGACAACAAAATTACAGGTCGTATATCCTCTCTCCTCATTCGTGAACCGTGCCATCGCACCAAGAAATTATCATGAATCGACATAACAGGAGATGGGCATTGATTGTTTCCTTAACAGGAAGGATTGACCCATCTCCGGTTCATCCATGTGGAAGAACCCGAACCCAATTTCCATCAACGCACTGCGAAGACATGTGCACATACGCCCGTCATGCACAGGATAGGAGGTCCGCGAACCATTCCAATCAACCCTCCTCCCCTCCATCGACGGTCCCCACTAATCGCACGTCATGCACAAGTGGAAGGCCATTTTAGCGGCACCTCAATAGTGTCATCCATGCGCCTGCCGCTGCATACGAAGACTCGACCTCACCACCTGTTACACGCGGCCCTGATGTCGTCCTCTGGGCACCACATCTGGACAGCGCCATGACGGTACCCCCTCCCACGAAGGGGAGGCTCCAATTCCGCACTAAACGACGCATTCGCATCCATGGCCGCCACATGTTCCTCGGCGATGGCGGAGATGAGGTACCTCACCATGTCGCCCACGACGTCAGGGTTCGGCGTTTGCCACATGTTAGGGACAACATTGGATAGTTTCCGCACCAGGAGAACAACCTCCACGAGGTTGTTGTCCCCATCGTAGCCCAGCCATGCCACCATCCGCATGGCCATCAAGCCGTTCACCAGTGAGTAATAGACACGCGTCTGGTCGGTTTGTACGCCAGGGCCCCAATCCATTTGGTGGTGGCGCTCGCTCCCTCGTTCGAGCCTTGTCTCCTGCACGACGACCTCCTTCCCGTCGACCCTCTCCCTCACGACGGCCACGACGTTCGGCATCTTTCTGTCTCTCTCTCTCTCTCTCTCTCTCTCTCTCTTTCTCTCTCTCTCTCTCTCTTCTCTCTCTCCCTCTCTCTCTCTCTCTCTCT